GTGTGTTTGTGTGAGTGTGTGTATGTTTGTGTTTATGTGTATATCTACTTGCTGCAGAAATCGAAGAGAAAATTTGTTAGGTTTTCTCTCTTTAGTCTGGAAAAGATAACTCGTGAGCATGAAGGACGCTCGCTCATAGAAAACGAAAAAAAAGGGGTTTGGGGGTGAAGGAATAAATGTCAAAAAGGAGCATAGATTTGCTCACACTTGATCTTGGTTGGCCCCGGCGCTGTCATTCACAAGTGTCGTGTAAACGCTCCCTCCATTCTGCTCGTCAACGCCTGGCGATGCACGATGTTTAATGGATCTCTGCAATTTGCCTAGTTCCACATGAATAGACGTGTTGACAGCTGTAGAATTATTTCTAATGATAGCCATGATTTGCTGCTGATTTGCTGTTTTGGGGCCCTTGTTTCATGAAGATGATTTTATTTTATCACCATTTCAAAAGTTTATTAAATACTTTATGAAATCCCAGCAATGGTGGGTGTTAATTTTTTTACATCCATCTAATCATCTGAAGAAAGCTGCATGGAATAACGTTTTCGGCGTTATGGCAGTATAACAGAAAAAAGAAACAAACAATTGAAAACGGTTTGAGTATAAGTACTACTTTCCTGGTACTCAAAACTGACACACAAAAGGCCACCTTTGTTCCAACGACATGAATGTAAACTTACCATTAGAGGACATCTACAGCGAAATCCGTCTTAACTGCATTACTCAAACGGTCAGCTTTGTGGAAAATCACTTTAACTTCTCAAAACAGGGCTTATTTGAGCGCTTGGCTCAGAGTATAAGGACATTAAAATGTTTCCCCAAACAAGTGAATCTAATCTTTTGCTCAAAGCATAAAGTAAGAGATGACTCATAGGCCCTGGCTGCGATTCAAGAACGCCGAGATCGTAAAATACAGAAAAGGCTAGTTCGGATATATTTTTCTTTCGCCATACCTTTTCCTTTCCTTTCGCTTTTATTTTTATCCCCTTCACCGCATATTTCAGTGTTCCTACTGTTTTCCTTGGGGTGCCTCAGTTGGTCTCGAGAAACTAAAATCTGACCACAATAGCGTAATTAACTGTACAATGTGTTTGTGCACTGTGCTTTATATGCACTGGATGGAAGCAGATTGTATGGTGCTAGAAAATAAATTGTCTCGAAACCTGACTTGTTTATGGAGACAGTTAGTTTCCATGCTTCGAGGCTTTGAGTTGGCTCAGACTAAATGCAATGGAAGATTTTTTTTTTCTAAAATGGTCTCCTTCCTCTTCTTGTTGGGTGTAACTTAACACAGTAACAATACCATTGTTTCATTTTTCTGCACTTCTTCCGAACGACACTCCTTGCCAAATTCAAGTAACCAAGTAGTTTTTCTAAGAATAAAGAACGTCATACCTTGTGCATTATGATATTCGTCGCTAAACTTGTTTACGTGCGAGCTCATTTTTACCTTTCTTTAACGGTTATAAAGGTAACACCAGAGTAATTTTTTAAATGTCTAAGCGTTACAAGGATCCAAAACAAATTGCTTGAATATTTTTAGGCCACTGCCCAACTTGTTTGAGCAAATCGGCAGGCTGGTATTAAGTAATGTGATACCCACCAACCTCTTTCAAGGCACTCAGACCCCCACATGATTTAGGGTAATACCAGCTGAATGCTACTGCACTGTGTGATTGATATGACGCTTGCTCCACGCAACATGTTTCCTCTGAACAAAAACATTATATAGAAGGTTTTGCAAGCCAAGATGTAATAAAGGAAAGGTTTTGTAACAAAATATAATACGTTCCTTGTAACTTTTAGCATGATGCACTCTATATTATGCTTCTTTTTGGGTCCTTTACAAAAGCCACTGGCTATAAAATATTATAACCCAGGTAACAGTTCTATTTCGTCTTTAGATATCGTGGGCCTAAGCATTAACAAATCAAACAAAATGAGTTCGAGGTTTAGAGTGATGTCATTTTTTTGGTTCATGTTAAAAGATCTTTTCTGTCTCACTGACACCTGGAGGAAAACATTTGGCTTGACTGACTAACCGTTGTCGTTGTAAGGCAAGTTCTATTACTTTTTTAAAATATTTCCTTTTTTTCCTTTAGTATGCTTTAGCGAAGAGGGTTGGTCTATTTTTTGGCTTGTTTGCAAGTTTCTTCAAACCGCAGGGCGGTGACTGTTTTCTCGCGAGCTTTACCCTTACATCAGACTTGAGCTCATTGTTTCATCGCATTCTTTCATTTTTAATCCATAGCTTCCCATTCCTCGTCTCATGTGGCTGTAATGCGACTTTAGCTCCTCACAGCTCACACCAGATGCGACGTGACAGCGACGCTAATCATTACAAATTGGCCGTGAAGTGAGAAGGCAGAGACGGCCCTTTGGTGATGGGATCACTGACGGACGCGTCGGGCACAGGAAAACTCACGTATTCGGCACGCACTTTGAAAACTGGAACGGTCCATATTATTCGATACCAAGGGCAAAGTGTGAGTGATTTACATGCACTGCAATTGGATATTGCTTAAATTGCATATAATGTTGATACCATTTTTTTAAAAACAGTGTCATACGGAAAAGCCATCTTTAACTTGAGCGTTTCGTTATTTGTACTAGCAGTTGTGTTAATGTCAAAAGACGAAGGTTCACGCCCCTTCTGCTTACTTATTACACCTCTAACCTCTCTTTCAAACAGTGGTTCTAGAAATAAATGAAAAATATTGGTTCCAGAAGTGAAAATAACCGGAGGCTTACTCTATTCTGAAATATTTTTTTTCTTCTCCAGAAATGTCACAATGCATTAAAGGAGGGCTGGATTGCACTCCATTCGTCACTGGGTTTGGGGATAGGGTGGGGTGAGCGGAGAGTGCTTGTGTTTAATTTTTTTTCTTTTTTGTGTTAGTTGTTGTTAAGTTGACCGAATTATTTCTTGCTCTTGTTTGTATTTTTGTTGTC